CGGAGGCTTTGAGCGTTGTAAAATTCTCGAAGTCTCGGCCCTTATCTGTTCTGCGGTTTGAATGGGCAGCGACCGTATGCCACTCTCTACATTTGATATAATGTCCTCTACTGGCAACCTGGACGGTACTATGGCAAACATTCCTAAATGTAATTTGACCGGCCGTGAAAGCCTTCATAGTCTGATAAAACGCTTCCTTAATAGTTTTCAAGAAGAAGGCAAAAACTTTCCAGCTCTGGAAGACTCGATGCAGAACTTCACGGAAACCAAGGCGCTGATCGTCAACAAACAGTACGACTATCTGGATCAGCGCAATCTGGTGTTCGAGCAGGATTTCCAGAACTTTCTGGACCATACCGATGAGCTGAAGGACAAAATCGCCGATATAATCGAGGAGAATTTCGATAGCGTGTGGGAGACGCCGCAAGGTGTTCGCTTTTTGACGCGCTTCGAAAAAGTGAGCGAGAAAATCCCGCTGGCCAAGCTGGACGAGAAGTACGACCGCATATTGAAGTACTGCGAGAAGGAGGTGGATCGGATCATCAAAATGTACAAGAAGCAGAAGGATGACCCGCCGGTGCCCAGACTGTTTCCCCCTATTGCCGGGAGGATTAAATGGGCCAGATGTTTGGCTTCGCATCTCGACGAGCTGCTGTCCAATGTAACCACCCATCATGTGATGAAGAGCTTGCCTGCCACTGTGGACTTATCCAGGCGCCATCGGGCAGCTGAAAACATGTTCAGAACCTACGAAACCGACATGGTGGCCTTGTGGATGAACCAGCATGTGTCCGATGCGGACAAATGCCTGACGAGACACCTGCTGGTTGTTTGTGCCGAACAGCAGAAGCTCAAAGTCAACCTGCACGCCACCATTCCACTTCTCATCAGAGAGACCGACTTGATGATGAAGATGGATCTTCCGGTTCCAATGGTTGCCCTGACTTTATATGCCAAGCAGGACCATTTCGCGTTGATCCAGGACTCATTGCAGGTACTGCAGGACTTCCCAGCTAAACCCCAACAGTGCTTCAAATGACTTTTCAGTTCCTCATCAACAACTTCCTGAAAGTCGTCAAGAGCGTCAAGTTGGAGGTGCGACCGCTCTTTCTGCCGCATCTCATCAAACTGTCCAATCGGATCGAGCCGGGATTGACGCATCTGGATTGGGTGTCTGCAGACTGGCAGGCTTATGTGGACTCGGCCAATACGGCCATCAAAAACTTCACAGTTTTGGTAAGTGGAAATCTCAGTGGCTCTACTGGGTGGATAAGAAACATATTTTCCTGCAGACCGACCGGATTCACGACATTTACATCAACAGGGTGTTGGAAGTGCTCACTAGTATGCAGGCCATTCAGTTGCATGCGCTGCCTGATGATGGCGATTCAGCCTGGGGAATCGGTGAGTAATTTGGGCAACCACACACTTGAGAAATTGTCTCTAAATTCCTGATGATGGCATACAGTCGAAACTTTCAAGAAATGTGATGCGAAAGCTGTTTTATCCAGTGATGCAATCAAGAGCGTTTCGCCTGTTTTACTTTTTAAGAAATTCACGTCCAAAGCAACGATTGCACAAATTTGAAAACTAAAACTCTTCTATCTACAGCGTTACTCAACTTTTCTTTCCTGCCCAAACACTTCATGTTCAAAGATACGACTGGCAAAATCTGCTAAATGCACCTGATGATTTGAATTTTTTTTGTAAAATCGCTGATGATGGCATACAGTCGAAACTTGCAAGGCCCATAGCGTAACACTTCGTCTATTTAAGACCTCAATCAGCGTTAATTTATTTTCTTTGCAGTCCGAGCACTTCATATTCAAAGAAAACATTGCGAAAACAAAAATTCCCTAAAGGCAACTTAAAAAAATTATCAAAAATTCCTAATGATGGCCTAAAGACAAAACGGTCAGGGAATTTAACAGAAAAGTTCCTCTATCTACTTCCTCAATTATCGCTGTTTTATATTATCAACTGCTCGAACGATTACAGAAATCTCCTAAAGGGGACTTAAGATTTAAAAAATCGTCAAAAGTTACCTGATGATGGCCCAAAGTCGAAACTTTCAAGACCTATAACGTCACGCTTCCTCTATCTAGAGCTTTAGTCGGTCTAGATGTATCTTCTTTACTACCAGCGCACTTCGTGTTCAAAGAAACGATTGCAAAAATCCTCGAAAGGTAACTTAAAAAATTGTCAAAACATCCCTGATGACCTGAAGACGAAACTGAGCCGGAATTTTACATAAAAGTTTTTCTATCTACTTCCTCAATTAACGTTGTATTATATTATCAACTGCCCGAGCGCTTCATGTTCAAAGGAACGATTACAGAGATCTCCTAAAGGCGACTTAAGATTTAAAAAATCGTAAAAAATTTCCTGATGATGGCCCAAAGTCGAAACTTCCAAGAAAGGTAATGCAAAAGCTCTTCTATCTAGGGATGAAATCGGGAGCGTTTTGTCTGTTTTAGTTTCGAAGAAATTCACGTCCAAATCGAGGATTGCACAAATTTGAAAACTGCGTGATTTGAAAATTAGTTTAAAAGTCCCTGATGATGACTCGGCGTCGAAACTTTTAAAGAGTATTCCGTAACGCTTCCTCTATCGAGAGCGCTAATCAACGCTGATTTATCTTCTTTACTGTCCAAGCACTTCAAGTTAGAAGCAACGACTGGAAAAATCTGCTAAATGACCCTTTCGCTTTGATTTTTTTGGCAAAATGCCTGATGATGGTCTACACTCGAAACTCGCAAGACCCATAGCGTAACATTTATTCTATTTAAAACCTCAATCAGCGTTAATTTATCTTCTTTGCGGTCCAAGCACTTCATATTCAAAGAAAATACATATTGCGAAAACAAAAATTCCCTAAACGCAACTTAAAAAATTCTCGGAAAATCCCTGATGATGGCCTGAAGACGAAACTGACCGGGAATTTAACATAAAAGTTTCTCTATCTACTTCCACAATTATCGCTGTTTTATACTATCAACTGCTCGAGCGCTTCATGTTCAAAGGAACGATTACAGAAATCTCCTAAAGGCGACTTAAGATTTAAAAAATCGTCGACAATTACCTGATGATGGCCCAAAGTCGAAACTTTCAAGACCTATAAGGTCACACTTCCTCTATCTAAAGCTTTAGTCAGTGTAAGTGTATCTGCTTTACTGCCCGCGTACTTCGTGTTCAAAGAATCGATTCCGAAAATCTCCTAAGAGCAACTTAAGATTGAATATGCGTCACCACTCCCTGATGATGGCCGCAAATCGAAACTGGCAGGGAATAAGTTACGCAGCTTTGCCCCCTCTAGTCCCTCAACCCGCACTGTTCTATTTTTGCAACTTTCGCTGAAAACTACCCAAACCTGCCTGCTGATGGCAGGCATTCGAAACTTTTCGTCTTCTGATGAACATTCCAGATGATTTCTGCAATCAAATCGACGAAGTCTGCCAATCGTCGGCCGATGAGCTGCACAAAAGATGCATGATGATTGAGGAAGCCGTTGAGGAAATCCTCCTGCTGGTGAAAACCGCCCGAATAGACGACGAGGACGCGCCCAACGAAGAGGACACTTTTCTCTTCGCAGGTGAGGAGCAGTGTCCATGTGGCCTCACTCAAGCTAATGAGGAGTCATTCCCCAGACGAGGACAAACCGCCCGACATTGGAGGGACGTCCTCGCAACAGCAATCCGATTGGACGCTGGTGTGGGAGTGTTTCGAGAAGCCCCACCTCCTCCTCAGCGGAGGCATGAGTAAGGCCATGCACGACGTGGTGAGAGGAGCGGTGGGAGAGATGAGGAGGTACTACACCCGGAAGGTGATTGATGTGCTGGTGAAGGTCACCAGACAGTCCTTGGACGCTTTGAGGAGGCGCTTTTGCATAGAACGTGAGGCTTGCGTGGACGGTCACCCTCGTATAACCAGCAAGGCTTTCTAGATAAAGACGAGCGGCTGCCAGTGTTCATTCTTAACGCCGTCCTGCTCATCCCCAAAGTGGGCATTCAACCCACTCTGGACGAAGTACAGGAAGTGCTGAATCTGGCCGGGAAAAACATCACGTCGGTGTCGAAAGGAGTGGGCCAGTGGGCCCGAAGCCAAGAGGTAAGTTCGACTTCGAACGCTGCCTTAAGCCCAACTGAACCTTATCAATGTTTAGCCAAATGAGCCAACATTGGACGACAGTTGTAATAGTTTAAGTGTAAGTCAGCTCTTACAAATGCCCGTAATTTGTGTGCGTTCCTCAATTAATCAGTATCTTGTGTCTCTCCCATCATAAACGAAAAACAATCACTAAACCATTGTAAACTTGATGCACTCGAATCGTACACCCAAAAAACCTCCCTTGTATAACCACAACCCACCACTACTATACAACACTTGCATGACTAAAGGGAGCCTCTGGCAGTAAGAAGTCGGTCTGGAAAAAAATCGCCGGACCTTCAGCCAACCTCATGGATGTGGTTAATAGATCACGCTATGTCCAAACACAGGTAATTTGCGCTTGTTTAGATTAAGCGACTCCTGTAGGCTGCAAGTAGGTTCTTGATCGTGGGAGGGAAAACCAATGGGCTGGGGAACAAATGATTTTAGCAGAAAACCTCGAAAAGTTCACTCAAAAGCAAAGGCGACGACTTTCGGACTCGGCGCCGGAAACTGTACAGACTGATGACGGAAGAGAAACCAACGTTTCCCCTACAGCAACGGAACTTCTTCAACCATGTGATGGAGAACAAGGAAGTGATCAAGGCGCTTTCGCTGTTGACATCTTGCACCCAAGAAATGCGTGGCGTAAGTGGATGAACGGAACAGGGAGATGAATAAGCATTGCCTACAACCGGAATGCGCTTTAAATCGGATATTTCCGGACTTTTTCCTAGAGCACATAGACACTAAGTGTCTATAGTCAATATAGTCACTAGTGTTTCTAAAGTTTTCTGAAGTCCGAAGATAATTTTATGAGAAGTTCCAAAATGCACAATTCATTAGTTGGGCTTCTCTGCCCTTAAAAATTCACCAATCTCAAACTAGAACCGATAGAGCCCTGCAGCTTGCAACGAGACTAAACAAGACTCTAATCAATGCATACGGAGGATTTTTAGTTAAATCAGACTATTCAATGACTTTGTGCGGATTTTAAAAACCGTCAAACAAAATGGGCCTTTTCTAAAGTAGAAAATCTGTAACTCTCAACCCAGAGCCAATAGAGGCGTGAAATTTTGAGAAATTGTCAAAGAGGTACTAGTTCTTAAGCACACAGCTTGGCATAACATTTGAAAAATCTGAGATTTTTAAATGAATTTTCACAGCGATTCTTCAAAAGGGGCAATTTACTAATTGTGCTTCTCTACATCAAAAAAATCCGCATTTCCACAACAGACTCGATAGAGCTCTGAAATTTCTCACAGTTACAGAGAAGATATCAATATAAAAGTTCGAAAAGTTTTAATTAATTTCGGGCATTTACAAAAATTTTCAAATTTAATTAACAACCATAACTTGCAAACTAGAGCAGATAGAGCCCTAAAATTTTTTTTAGCACAGAGTTAACCAAGACCCTACTGAACATCTGAACCGTTTATGAATTTGATTGAATAACTGGAATTTAGATCATTTTATAGGCAATGTTCAAAGAAGTCCTTCAAACCTCTAAAGGCGCTTGTGCATCCCAATTTCTAAAAAAATCGTAACTGCCAAATAGAGCCTCTGAACCATTGAAACTTTTCACAATTGCAGATAGAGAACCGATCTCTAATTGTGCAAAAACGCAAAAACCTTGAAGCTTCGAACGATTTCATAAAAATATTCAAAATCGCGCCTAAACCCGCTACAGACATTTGTGCAATTGTGCTTCTAAAAATTCACAACTCTGGAAATAGAGCCAATAGATCCTTGAAATTTTGCACAGTTGCAAACAAAGAACCTCTTTCAGACTACGTACAAATGCAAAAGTGTTGGCGCGTCAGATGATTTTAAAGAAACAGTCGAAATAACCCTTAACACCTTCAAGGGCGCAGCTGCATCTCAATCTAAAACAATTCGTAACTGCCAAAATAGAGCCGACAGAGAATTTAAATTTTGCACCGATGTAAACAGAGAACCGGTTTCAGATTCCGTAAAAAGCCAAAAATCTTAGAGTTTTCATTTTATCGCAATTTTATAGGAAGTATATCTTCAAAGTAGTCCCTAAAACCGCTGCAGGCGTTTGGGCATTTGTGGCTCAAAAAAATCTTAACGTTTTAAATAGAGCCTATAGAGCCCTGAAATTTTGACCAATTGCAAACAAAGAACCGGTTTCACATTGCACAAAATAGAAAAGTCCTTCCCCCTCTAAAGTTTTCCTTTAGATGGATTTTAAGAAATGCTCATTGAACCCGTTCCACCGCCACAGGCGCTGGCTCAATCTAAAAAAAATCCGTAAATGCCAAATAGAGCCGACAGAACCGTGAAATTTTGCACAGATGTAAATAGGGAACCGGTTTCATTTTACGCGAAAATTCGAAAACTTTGGGGTTTTCCAGAAATACACAGGAATGTTTAAGTCAGCCTTTGAAATTTCTACAGCCGCTTGTGCGCCCCAACCTCTAACAATTCGTAAAAAACTCTTGAAAAAGAGCTAAAAAAGCTTTGAAATTTGAAACAGTTGTAAAGGAAGAACCAGTTTTCAAATCACACCAGGATCGAAATTATGTGGGGCTTTGAATATATTTTTTTAATGTTCAAAATAGTGCTTAAAGCACCCACAGCCGCTCTCAAATTCGCGACATTTCTCCCATTTACAGCGCCTCTACTCCAACCCGAATAAGCGCGAATTTAAAAGTTCAAACTTGCTTTTCCAGGAACGCATGGAGCTGTGGAACAATGCTTATTCACGCCTCCATCCAGACGCTCCCCAATCGCCTCTTAATTAAAATTGTGACATCTCCTGGCGTTTTTTTCTCTGTCCTCAGGAGATGTCACAGTTTCTCTCGAGATGGCGACCATACAGCATCTTGTGGAGAAACGAGAAGTCGCAGCGCGAACTCCTCAACTGCCAACTGGCGGAGTTCGAAACGGCCCTCCGAAAGCACGAAGAACTGAACGAACGACTGGCCACTGAACCGGACATTTTCACCATCACCAACTGCCTGGCCATTTCCACTGAAAAGCTCAAGTACGGGATCCAGACAGAGATAAAGTCCTGCACTCATCGGTGAGCGAATGAGTGAGTGGAACCTGTGGAGGCTACGTTCCTTCGATGTCCGTTCCAGAATCGGACAAGCCATGAAGAAGAAGTACCGAAGGGAAATGGACTATGTGTATGCAGTCATTAGCGAGATGGAGCGCAAGCTCGAGAGGACCATCAGAGACCTGGATGATGTTAGGATGATAATGGACACTCTGAAGAAGATCAGGGAGCAGGAGGTGGACATGGAGCTGAAGATCGAACCCATTGAGGTAGCACGGAGGGTTCCCCTCAGAAACTGTGACATCTCCCGGCGAATTAACTCTGGAGGTGTTACAGTTCCTCAGGGGATCAGGAATTACCCCCATCCATATCGTTTCCAGGACGCCTTCAACGTGCTCAACCGATTCGACGTCAGCGTCGAGCAAGAAATCGTCGAGCAAGTGGACAACTTAAGGTACACGTGGAGGCAACTGTTGGCCAACGCCCTCAAGGTGCAGGTGAACCTTCTGGACATGCAGCCCCAGTTCCAGAACGACCTCAAAAGCAACCTGGAACGGTTCAAACAGGACAAAATCGACTACTGCAATGAGTACCGCACGGCGGGCCCGATGCAACCTGGACTCACCCCAAGGGAAGCCTCAGATCGGCTAATTCTTTTCCAGGTAACTGCTCAATAAACCCCACATCATTCAATCAAAGGAGTGTTTCCAGAATCGCTTTGATGGCATGTGGAGAAAGCTGCAAACCTACCAAAGCGGGGAAGAGCTTTTCGGGTTGCCGACCACCGACTACCCAGACCTGGCGCAAATCCGCAAGGAGCTCAACCTGCTCCAGAAGCTCTACAAGCTCTACAACGACGTAATTGACAGAGTGAACAGCTACTACGACATCCCGTGGGGCGAAGTGAACATCGAGGAAATCAACAACGAGCTGATGGAGTTCCAGAACCGGTGCCGCAAGCTTCCCAAGGGCCTGAAAGAATGGCCGGCGTTCTTCGCGCTGAAGAAAACTATCGACGACTTCAACGACATGTGCCCCCTGCTGGAGCTGATGGCCAACAAGGCCATGAAACCGCGCCACTGGCAGCGCATCATGGACTCCCTCAACCACATCTTCGAGTTCGAAAACGAGGGCTTCTGCCTGAAGAACATCCTGGAGGCGCCGCTGCTCCAACACAAGGAGGACATTGAGGATATCTGCATCTCCGCAATGAAGGAGAAGGACATCGAGGCCAAGCTGAGGCAAGTGACCAATGAGTGGAGCGTGCATGAGCTCACTTTCATGACGTTCAACAACCGCGGCGAGCTCCTGCTTAGAGGGGACACCACGGCGGAGACCATTGGTCAGCTGGAGGATAGCTTGATGATTCTGGGCTCGTTGCTCTCCAATCGCTACAATGCGCCGTTCAAGAAACACATCCAGCAATGGGTGCACGATCTCTCCAACACTAATGAGATACTAGAGCGATGGCTATTGGTGCAGAACATGTGGGTGTATTTGGAGGCGGTCTTTGTGGGCGGCGACATTGCCAAACAGCTGCCCAAAGAGGCAAAGAGGTTTTCGAAAATCGACAAATCCTGGCAGAAAATCATGCAACGCGCCCATGAAACGCCCGGAGTGGTGGCCTGCTGTGTTGGTAAGCTTTTCCTCCTCACTTCTTCTTGGACTAGCGTTAAGCGCTTAAATCCTGGGTGGGTTGAAGAGTTTTATTCCCACATTCTCCTCTAGGAGACGACATGCTGAAACAACTGCTGCCCCACCTGCAAGAGCAGCTGGAGCTGTGCCAGAAGTCCCTGAGCGGCTACTTGGAGCGCAAGCGAATGATGTTTCCGCGATTCTTCTTCGTATCGGATCCCGCCTTGCTGGAGATTCTGGGCCAGGCCTCCGACTCGCATACGATCCAGAATCATCTACTCTCCATCTTCGACAACACCAGGTACGTGAAGTTCCACGACATCGAGTACAACAAGATCACCTCAGTGGTGTCCTGCGAGGGCGAGACGATCCAGCTGGAGAAAACAGTGAGGGCGGAAGGCAGTGTGGAGACTTGGCTCACTCAGCTGCTTCAAACCTCCCAAGCCTCCTTGCACTCGATCATTCGGACCGCCTACTCGGTGATCAGCGATGGAAACTTCCAGTTGCTGAGCTTCCTCGATAAAATGCCTGCCCAGGTATTTGCCCCAGTGGGTTTTTGCATAGTAACTCTGCAACCTTAACGCAGGTGGGGCTGTTGGGGCTGCAAATGATCTGGACCAGAGACGCGGAGCTGGCGCTCCTCCAAGCCAGGCATGATAAGAAGATCATGCCCGATACCAACAACCGGTTTTTAGAGCTACTGAATACGCTCATCGACCAAACCACTAGGGACTTGACGAAAATCGAACGCACCAAGTTTGAGACCTTGATCACCATCCATGTGCATCAGCGGGACATCTTCGACATCCTGGTAAGCCACCGCACCAAACATCCAATCTCTCTAAGCCACGGTGATTGTTCCTATCCAGTGCCGCATGAACATCCGCCACGTAAACGACTTCGAGTGGCTCAAACAATGCCGCTTCTACTTCAAAGAGGAACAGGACAAAACGCTCATAGTCATCACTGATGTGAGCTTCTCCTACCAAAATGAGTACTTGGGGTGTACTGAACGCCTGGTTATCACCCCTTTGACCGACAGGTACTGAGTGAGTGAGTGAGTGGGAGGAACATTTCCCTTAGAGGGCCCTTGCAGGTGCTACATCACATTGGCGCAAGCCTTGGCAATGAGCATGGGCGGGGCCCCTTGCGGCCCAGCTGGGACTGGCAAAACCGAAACCGTCAAAGACATGGGGAAAACTCTGGCTAAATATGTGGTGGTGTTCAACTGTTCCGACCAAATGGACTATCGAGGCCTTGGCAGGATTTACAAAGGTCTTTACTCCTTTCTTCCAAACTCGACAATTAAAGACCTTGTTGCCAAAAATTCGTGAAACTCGGCAGGTTTAGCCCAATCAGGCTCCTGGGGCTGCTTCGACGAATTCAACCGCATTGAACTCCCAGTACTATCAGTCGCTGCCCAGCAAGTAGCAGTGGTGCTGGCCAGCAAACGGGAGAAAAAGAAGACATTCCAGTTCACCGACGGCGACATTGTGGAGATGTGTCCAGAATTCGGCATCTTCATAACAATGGTATTTGCCCCCTGAGGCTTAGGGAGGGCACTTAATCAACCCCCTATTGCAGAACCCCGGCTACGCCGGCCGAAAGGAGCTACCCGAGAATCTGAAAATCCAGTTTCGCACTGTGGCCATGATGGTGCCCGATCGGCAGATCATCATCAGAGTGAAGTTGGCCAGCTGCGGTTTTCTGGAAAACATCACTCTGGCCAGGAAGTTCTACACGTTGTACAAGTTATGCGAGGAGCAGCTGACTAAACAAGTACTCATACTCAAGTAAACAGGCGCCCTTTGATAATTTACCCTTGCAGGTGCACTACGACTTTGGCCTGAGAAACATCCTGTCGGTGCTCAGAAGCTTGGGCGCAGCCAAGCGAGTGAATAACCGCGACTCGGAAAGCACCATAGTGATGCGGGTGCTTCGCGACATGAACCTCAGCAAACTAATCGATGAGGACGAGCCGCTGTTCATCTCCCTAGTGGCCGACCTTTTCCCCAACCAATTTCTAGAGAAAACCGCCTATCCAGAGCTGGAGGAGGCCATCAACGCCCAAGTGGACAAGGCCGGCCTGGTCAACCATCCCTCGTGGGCCTTGAAGCTGATCCAGGTGAGCCTCCAAGCCCGTTTATCTCCGCAATAAATGCACTTCCTATTGCAGCTCTATGAGACGCAAAGAGTCAGGCATGGAATCATGACTCTCGGCCCTTCAGGGGCTGGAAAAACCAGCTGCATCCAGATTTTGATGAAATCACTCTCTCAGATGGGCGACCAACATAAGTAAGTCCCCATATGGAATCTGTAGCTTTCAACATTCATCCGTTCTTAGGGAGATGCGCATGAATCCAAAGGCCATCACAGCCGCTCAGATGTTTGGCCGACTGGATGTGGCCACCAACGATTGGACCGATGGGATCTTTTCGGCCTTGTGGAGGAAAACTTTGAAGATCAAAAGCGGTGAAGATTCCAAAGATGCCAAATGAGGAGGTTGGAACTCAAAAACTTTTCCAGGTGAGCACGTGTGGCTGGTTCTGGACGGCCCAGTGGACAGCATCTGGATTGAGAACTTGAACTCAGTTCTGGACGACAACAAGACTCTAACACTGGCCAACGGCGACCGGCTCTCAATGGCGCCCACTTGCAAGATCATCTTCGAGCCGGAAAACATCGACAACGCCTCTCCAGCCACCGTGTCCAGAAACGGCATGGTAGGGCTGAATTACTCGCTAATCTCGACTTTTACTGAACGGCGCCCAACCAGGTCTACATGAGCTCTTCCGGGCTCACCTGGAAACCGATAGTGAGGGCGTGGCTGAAGCGGCGCAGCCTCAAAGAGCAGGAGGTCTTCACCAAGTTGTTCGACGACCATTTCGGCGCCCTACAGAATTGGGGAGCGCAAAACCTCACCCTGGTCATGGACGTGTTGGAGTGCAACATCATTCTCCAAGTGATCAACCTGCTAGAAGGTCATTTCTCATCGCCATGCGTTGAATTTATTCTAAACCCCCAAACCCCATCCAGGCTTGATCCCCAACCAAAACGAAGCCTCAGACGCCACAGACATTTCCTCAGCAAAGTCTGACTTTGACGACGAGGAGGCCTTGGAGGAGACCGAGAAGGGGGATGAGCGCAAAATATTCACTCCCGATCACCTGGTGAAGTTGTTCATTTTTGCCCTGACTTGGGGCATGGGCGCCTACTTGGAGAGCGAGGATAGGCTCAAGTACGACGTGTTTATGAAGGAGGATATGTGCGAGTTGGGCTTGCCTCAGAACACCAGCAAACACCCAGATGTAAGAGGAATTTCGCGAAAAACTCCCTAGAACTTGGAAGATTCTCCTTGACAGGCTACGGTGTTCGACTATGTGGTCAACTCAGAAGGGCATTGGGTGATGTGGAACAGCCTCGTTCCAAACTACGTGTACCCGGAAATGGCAACTCCGGAGTTCGGCTCGATTCTTATCCCCATTATGGACAATGTGCGCATCAACTACTTGATCGACACGATTGCCAAGCAGGAGAAGGCAGTGATGCTGATAGGCGAGCAGGGAACGGCCAAAACTGTAACTGCTGAACGATGGCAACATCCCCCATAAGCTAATGGAGAACATTCCGTAGGTAATGATGAAGGCCTACATGAAGAAAACCAATCCGGAAGTCCACCTACACCGGGCGTTTAACTTCTCCAGCGCTACCACGCCCTTCCAGTTCCAGAAAACGATCGAAAGCTACATAGAGAAGCGCATGGGGAACACGTTCGGGGCGCCCAATGGGAAGAAGCTCATCATTTTCATCGACGACATCAACTTGCCGGAGATCAACTGCTGGGGCGACCAGGTAGGTCCCGCCCATTTTCTCCTCCAGCTTCTTCAACTGACGCTTCCCAGGTTACCAATGAAATCGTCAGACAGACGATGGATATGGGCGGGTTTTACAGTCTGGAAAAGCCTGGGGAATTCACCACTATTGTGGACGTGCAGTTTGTAGGCGCAATGGGCCAGCCGGGGGGCGGAAGAAACGACATTCCCTCCAGACTAAAGCGCCAGTTCAGCATCTTCAACTGCCCCCTACCCATGGATGCTTCCATTGATAAAATATTTGGAGTAATCGCCCAAGGTGAGCCTTTTGAAAATCCTCCTCGTTCTCTTTTTCGTATGGCGAACTCCTCCAGGGCACTACAACGTGAAACGCGGCTTCACTTTGGAGGTGCGCAACCTGGTGAAGAAGCTCATCTCTTTGACCAGGGTATTGTGGAAGTGCACCAGAGAGAAACTCCTGCCTACCCCAGCCAAGTTCCACTACGTATTCTCCCTTAGGGATCTATCCAGGATCTGGCAAGGGATGGTAAGAAGCTGGCGAGTTCATCCATGAGCAGCTGAGTGAGTTGATTGATGGTGTTGCAGGTTGGGACATTGTCGACTGTAATCGAGTCCGAGGGCTGCATGATGGAGCTGTGGAAGCACGAGTGCGCCCGAGTATTCTCCGACCGATTCACCATCGAGGATGACAAGACCTGGTTCAACGCCCAGCTGCTGCAGCTGGTCGAAGATCATCTGGGCGCCAATATGCGCGCCAAAGCCGAACCCGATCCGGTTTTCGTCGATTTTATGAGGCAATTGATCCGGTACTGATCGAGAATGTTCCCTATGGATGGATTTATCTGTAGGGATGCTCCGGAGCCCACTGGGGAAGAGGGCGAGGACGCCGACATGGAGCTCCCGAAAGTTTACGAGCCGGTGAACAGCCACCTGGAGCTTCGGGAGCGTTTGGAAATGTTCCTGGCGCAGTTCAATGAGATGGTGCGCGGTAACGGCATGGATCTGGTCTTTTTCCCCGATGCAATGCTTCACTTGGTGAAAGTTTCCAGAGTGATCAGGCACCCGAGAGGAAACGTCATGCTTGTCGGTTGGTGCCTTTGAAGGTTCGATCCAACTAAACAGCCGGATTGCATGAGCATATTTTGCAGGAGTGGGCGGCAGCGGCAAGCAGTCTTTAACCAAGCTCTCCTCATTCATTGCCGGGTACAAAACATTCCAGATCACCCTCACGAGGTCGTACAACATCGGCAACTTCCTAGAGGACCTCAAGGTGCTCTACCGGTCCTGCGGCTGCAGCGGAAAGGGCACCACTTTTATCTTCACCGACCTGGACATCAAGGAGGAGGGTTTTCTGGAATACCTGAACAACATCCTGTCCTCGGGCGTGATTTCCAATCTGTTCACCAAGGATGAGCAGGCGGAAATTATCCAGGAACTCACCCCCGTTATGAAGCGGGAGAACCCAAAGCGCACTCTCAATCCAGAGGTGGTGATGGAGTATTTCATGAACCGCACCTGTCAGAATCTTCACGTGGTTTTCTGCTTTTCGCCCGTGAGTTTTCGCCGTTTCAAACTCCAATTTATGATTGATGGTTGATGTTGTTCAGGTTGGGGAAAAGTTCCGGAATCGGGCACTCCGATTCCCCGCACTCACCTCTGGATGCACCATCGACTGGTTCCAGCCGTGGCCCAAGGACGCCCTCATCTCTGTAGCCAGACATTTCCTCACAGAGTTCCAAATAGCCTGCAGTGAGCAGGTGAAGGAGGAGCTGGTGAACGCTTTGGGCTCCATACAGGACGTGGTTGCCGCCACTTCGCTCGAGTACTTTCAGCGGTACTTCTCACTCCTCACGGTTGTGTGTTTAAACTAACTCACTCAACTCCTAAAGGTTCCGTCGAGCCACTCATGTAACCCCGAAATCCTACCTCAACTTCATCGCCGGCTACAAGAGCATCTACAACAGCAAGCAGAAGGAGCTGAGTGAAGGGGCCCTTCGCATGGACACCGGCCTGGAAAAACTGGCGGAAGCCTCCTCCTCTGTGCTGATTTTGAAGAAAGAGCTAGCCGTGATGGAGAAGGAGCTGGCCGATGCTTCGCAACGAGCCGAACGGGTTTTGACCGGTAATTCCTGGTTTGTGAGTGAGAGGTTCCAGAGATGATTTGCCAACCTCTGCTCCAGAGGTCACTGAGCGGGCGATGCAGGCGGAAATTGTCAAAAACCAAGTGCAGAAAGTGAAGGAAAAGGCTGAGGCTCTAGTGTCGAGCATCGCGGTCGAAAAAGCCCTAGCGGAACAGAAGTTGGAGGCTGCCAAACCAGCCCTGGAGGAGGCTGAAGCTGCCTTAAACACCATCAAGCCTGCCCATATTGGTAGGTCCAAATCCCCGGCTCCAGAATTGCCACTTAGATTTTTCCATCCCCATTGCAGCCACTGTACGCAAACTGGGCAGACCTCCACACCTCATCATGAGGATCATGGACTGCGTGCTGATTCTTTTCCAGAGGAAGCTCCATCCAATCATCGCAGACACGGCTGCTCCATGCCCCAAACCCTCCTGGGCCGAGTCCTTGAAGGTTGCAACCGTCCAAACCCGAATTCCTTCACTAATTCTCCTCTTTAGATGATGGCGTCAACCACCTTCTTGCTCCAGCTTCAGAACTACCCGAAAGACATAATCAACAACGAAATGGTTGAGCTGTTGCAGCCCTACTTTGAAATGGAGGACTACAACATGGACACAGCCAAAAGAGTCTGTGGGGACGTTGCAGGTGGGCAGCAGGAGGTTTTGTATCAAACTCTGGAGTTTTTCCTTTCAGGGTTGCTGTCCTGGACCAAGGCGATGGCCTTTTTCCATAGTGTGAACCGCGAGGTCTTGCCCCTAAAGGCCAACCTGACCATGCAAGAGGCTCGGCTGAAGGCAAGTGTCTTTGGGGCTAGGCTAGTGCTTTAAATTGATGGGGAGTTTAGTTAGCGATGGAGGATCTGGCAGCTGCCCAACAGCAACTGGAGGAACGTGAGCAGTCGCTGCGCCAAGTCAAAGAGCAATACGACAGCGCAGTGATGGAGAAGCAAAGATTGACCGATGCTGCCAACTTGTGCTTGAGGAAAATGAACACTGCAACCACCCTTATCAAAGGTTTCACCTGGAAACTATCCATATCTCGAGCGTTCATCAATTGATCTGTGCCAGGTCTGGGGGGAGAGAAAGTGAGGTGGACGCAACAGAGCAAGGATTTCAAGGAACAGCTAGGACGACTGGTTGGGGATGTTTTGCTAGCCACAGGCTTCCTGTCCTACTGCGGGCCGTATAATCAAGAGTTTCGTGCAGGACTAGTCAACACTTGGATGGACATTCTCTCTTCCAGGCAAGCTTATTTCAGCCTTAAAATAAATCAGCTCTCTCAAACGGATGGTTTAGGTCCATCCCATACACTGTAGGTTTGAACATCACCAACATGCTGGTGGAAAACGCCACTGTGTCCGAGTGGACGTTGCAGGGACTGCCCAACGACGAACTCTCCGTCCAGAATGCCTTGATTGTGACCAAGTCCAGATCATTTCCGCTACTGATTGATCCGCAAAACCAAGGCAAGATGTGGATCAAGAACAAGGAGTCCAACAACAATCTGCAGATCACTAGTTTGAATCACAAATACTTCCGAACGCATGTTGAGGACTGTTTGTCCCTGGGTGAGCTACTGGGGTTAATCAATATAAACGTCAGTGAGTGCTAGTGATTCCTTAGGTAAGCCGCTGCTAATAGAGGACATTGACATTGAGCTGGATCCAGTCCTGGACAATGTTCTGGAGAAGAACTTTATCAAATCGGGGAGTATTGAAAAGGTGATTGTTGGGGACAAGGAGTGCGATGTTCTCAAAGGCTTCATGTTGTATATCACCACGAAGCTCCCGAATCCGCCCTACTCTCCGGAAATTAGCGCCAAGACCTCCATTATTGACTTCACTGTGACCATGCTGGGTACCTTTCAAGCCACATTTAAAGGAGTGCCGCTAAGAATGGACTTTTAGGTCTGGAGGACCAGTTGTTGGGTCGGGTGATTTTGATGGAAAAGTCCGATTTGGAGGCGGAAAGAGTGGCTCTCTTCGAATCGGTGATGCAGAACCAAAAGAGCATGAAGGAGCTGGAAACCAACCTACTGAGCCGCCTCAACTCGACCGAAGGATCTTTGGTAATAACCTGAAAACAACTAAAACCTCCCCCAAATAAGGCCAGTGTCCCAGGTTGATGATGAGGAGCTGATCAACGTGCTTCAAGTGACCAAAACCACAGCCGAAGAAGTGACGCAAAAGCTACAAGTATCAGTCCAGACGGAGAAGAAAATCAACATCGCCCGCGAAGAGTTTCGCGCTGTTGCAGCCCGAGGCTCCATCCTCTACTTCCTAATCGTCGAAATGAGCAACGTGAACGTGATGTACCAAAACTCCTTGAAGCAGTTCCTCATCATCTTCGACAACTCTATCACCAAGTCGGAGAAAAGCACCAACACTTCTGAGCGCATCAATATCATCCTCAAATATTTAACTTATGAGGTAACTTGAATTGAGGACGCAGGGAGTGAACTAGTTGATGATGAATCTTGCTTAGGTTTGGACCTTCACGCAACGAAGCCTCTACGAGCGCCACAAAGCCCTCTTCACCTTGATGATGGCCATGAAGATCGATCTGCACAAGGGAGTGATCACTCATGAGGAATTCATGGCTTTTATCAAGGGCGGGGCTTCGTTGGACCTCAACGCCGTCCAACCAAAGCCCTTTAGGTGGATTCTGGATATCACCTGGCTGAATTTGGTTGAAATCAACAAGCTGACCATTTTTGCAGATATTTTAACCAAGGTTTGCCGGATTAGGGACTCCAAGTCTCTGCCTGAAAGGAAGATCATGAAGATGCGGAATATTGACACTGTTCCAGATTGAAACAAACGAAAAAGACTGGCGGCTATGGTACGAAAAGGAAAAGCCTGAAGAAGAAGAAATCCCCTGCGGTTACCACAAGAACCTGGATGTGTTTCGCAAGCTGCTCCTCATCAGATCTTGGAGCCCCGACAGGACCCTGTCCCAGGCCAGGAAGTATATTATGGGTACCAACCATCTTCCTACTCCCTCATGCAGGTTTTACATTGATTTCCTTCTAGACTCTCTGGGAAATGAATACGGCGAGCCCTGCATTCTAGACCTAGAAGCCACTTGGCTGGAATCCGAGCCCCGGACGCCTCTAATATGCATATTGTCCATAGGCTCGGACCCTTCACCGCAAATCGCCATTCTAGCCAAACTTAAAGAGATTAGTGAGTTGGGAGGAGCGAAATCAGCTTCGTGTTACTCAAGGCTGCTTTGCAGCCTTAAAATCCGTGTCCATGGGACAAGGACAGGAAATTGTGGCCAAAGACTTGATAGAGAACGCCATTCAACACGGAGGCTGGGTGCTTCTACAGAACATCCACCTCTCTCTTCCTTTTGCCAGTGAGGTGATGACAATGATAATGGACGCGGAAAGGATTGATGAAACCTTCAGAATCTGGCTCACTACGGAGGTGCATGAGCAGTTCCCTATCGGGCTGCTTCAGATGGCCATCAAGTTCACCAACGAGCCTCCTCAAGGTAAACTAAATCATTGACGAATGATTGCTGATCCATGAAACGCTCTGGTGCCTGCAGGCATCAGAGCCAGCTTGAAGAGAACCTACCAGAACATCACCCAAGATTTCCTGGACTATTCCACCCAGTCCCAATGGCCTCCATTGCTCTATGCCGTCGCTTTTCTGCACACAGTGGTGCAAGAGAGGAGGAAATTTGGACCACTTGGTAAGCGCAACCAGAAAACACTTGGTTATGGTTCACCTGCAAGTTGTGTTCGACCAGGCTGGAACGTTCCATATGAGTTCAACCAGGCAGACTTTGCCGCCAGTGTTCAGTTCATCCAGAACCACTTGGATGATATGGATCCGAAGAAGGGAGTCTCTTGGCCTACAGTCTGCTACATGTTGGGAGAGGTTCAGTATGGAGGCAGAGTAACCGATGACTTCGATAAACGCCTGCTAACTACCTTCACCCAGGTGATTAGCAAATGTTTAGAAAAATGGCAAGGCTTCGAGTGGTTTTAGGTGTGGTTTTGCGACGTCCTGCTGCGGCCAGGATTCGAGTTTTACAGGAACTACAAAGTGCCTCAAACCCGCAACCTCCAAGGCTACATTGATTATATCAACGCTCTACCGGCTACCGACACTCCGGAGGTGTTTGGACTGCATGGAAATGCCGATATTACATATCAGATCAACACCGCTAAAGGTATACCAAGCCCGGAATATCACCAACTAACTGTGCCACGTCATATCGACGTGATTACCACTGAAAAATCGCGGCATGGGACATTCAATGAATGGTATTTCACAGGTATTCTGGATACCATATTGAACGTCCAGCCCAAGGAAGGAGGAGGAGGAGGCGGCGAAACTCGGGAAAGTGTGGTGTACTGTCTAGCTGAAGACATGCTGGATAAATTGCCAGCACTGTACAACAACTTTGAGGTCAAAGAGGCGCTGAACCGAATGGGGGCGTTGCTGCCCATGAACATCTTCCTCAGGCAGGAGATCGATCGTATCCAGAAAGTGATCAGAGAGGTGAAATCGACGCTTTCCGACCTGAAACTGGCCATCGACGGCACTATAGTGATGAGCCAGAACCTACGCGAGTCTCTGGACGCCATGTACGATGCCCGAATTCCCGAAAAGTGGCTCAAGGTATCCAAACAGCTTCCAATCTTCCTTTGGGTCCAAACTGTAAAGTTTCCAGATATCCTGGGAGTCTGCAACGCTCGGGTTTTGGTACACCGAACTCCTGGAACGCGACGTCCAATTCAGGACGTGGTGCAACCATGGAAGACCCAACGCCTACTGGATGACGGGGTTCTTCAACCCTCAAGGGTTCCTCACGGCTATGCGACAAGTAGGCTTTGAAACAGCGCAAGGTTCACGTTTAAAACATTACATTCCAGGATGTTACCAGGGCACATAAGGGGTGGGCTCTGGATTCTGTGGTGTTGCAAAACTTGGTCACCAAGTACAACCGGGAGGACATCAAGGAGGGTCCTCAGGAGGGCGTCTATGTTTATGGGTTGTTCTTGGAAGGAGCGGGGCTGGATAGGAGAACGGGAAAACTCATTGAGAGCAAGCCCAAGGTACTGAACTGATGGATTCCAGATTAGGTAGTTAGCGGGGGTTTTCCGTAGGTTCTCTACGAGCAAATGCCAGTGACGTACATCTACGCAATCAACACCACTGCCGGTAAAGACGCGAAATTGTACGAGTGCCCGATTTACCGCAAGCCGCAAAGAACAGACGCCAAGTATGTAGGCAGTATCGACTTTGAGACCGACCATAATCCGCGCCACTGGACTCTAAGGGGCGTAGCCCTGTTATGCGATATTAAATAAATAATTGTGAATGGAGTCTACTGAACTTTTGCAGCTCCTTTTGGCTGTTTAATTCAAATAGCATTTGTGAACCAACAGGCTTTTCAATAGCGGTTAAAAATCTTACCTATGGATTGTAGAAGGATGCTGTATAGTTGTAGGCTGATGACAGTGAACGTCAGAATTTTGTCCAGTTTAAAATAGCTTTTTCTTCGCAAAAATGCCACTTGCGGCCGCAAAACTACCACCAAACTGTAGAGGGAGAAATTCTGTTTCAGAAAATCGCGAGCTTTCCCCGGGGAAATCCGTAAAATCTAGAAATATCGGCGGAACTAGACGCACAGCGTTTCCTTTTCGACGCTAAACAAATGAACTCTTGGTTGCCCTGCGCAACCCACCACCAAAACCTAACCTCACTAGTTAAAGTGCGGTAAACCGTCAAGTTTCAAAGTGTGAATGCAACTAAAGTGTCTTTTTCTTAATAAAAATGGACTGTGGCAAGGGCAGCTCAGTGTGCCTGGTTGGGGACAACCTGGACTATGTGTTATTCAAGGTGGAATTGGTGGGAGTGACCAAAACCCGTTAGTAATTGGGGCTTTTCAGTTGGCAATAGAAGCGGCTTCACGGGGCCGAAGAGTGTGGTTCATATCAGTGAAGCCCGTTGAGAAGGTGCCCCCTGAAATCGAGCCCCCCTGCAAGCAGATACTGCAGCTGATTACTTTCATGTAAGTGTTAGGCTAGTGTGTTCAAACACTCTCAACAAGGACCCCATTCTTTTACCGCAGATATCTAAGTGATTTCGCGAGGCTAATGAGGCATCTGAATGGCATTCACAAGTGGAAACATCTGCCCTCAGTTGTTGTAGTGAATGGCTTTGATGCTTATTGCGATCAGTCGGGGTGCGGATTAAGTTCAAGGGGCGCAGCCTTTTTAATGGCGACCCTCTTAGACTGTTTGAGGTTTTTGGGCAAGAAACAAGCGTGTAGTTCTGTGCTGGTTATATCTTGTTCTAAGAGTGCGTTGAGTCAAGCAGCCCCAGCCGATAGCGTAAAGGTTTTAGTCGACATGTACTTGGATTTCTTTTTCCCACCTGTGGAGGATTCTGCCGGATTGTTGGAGAGAATCAAGGCTCTGGATTTACTTAATTAGTTTAATTGGCGATTGAAAATACATGTTTTAATACAGCACTAGGGTTAATATAAATAGACTATAAAAATACAACGTTTCAGTGGTTTTAGGAAAAGCGCGGGCTGATGCCACAGCACTAGTCAGGTTAATAATTTAATCAAAACAAGCTTAAATAATGGTTTTGTACTTCAAAAACAGATTGTACAGCACTCGCAGTGTAGATTTCAGATCCATGTTTACTATATCTGAAAAAAACACTTGAATCTCGGGGTTTATCGGATTGATTATACGGCAAACCTTCTGGTCGAGCTTTGGGCTTTTTCAGCCCGCATTCCTCCATCAGTTCAAAGGCGAAGCTGACGTTGTGAACTTTTTGGTCGACTTCCTGCGGAGTCAGATGGAAGGCGTAGTGCGGAACGAAGAAGCCTTCCAATAGTCCCATTAGGATGACCAAGTAGACCCCATCGTGAAACTGGGATTCTAGTTCAGTCACCTCGAAGTTCATCTTGTTCAGGTGCTTGTTTACGAAGGTTACCAGTGACTGAAAAAATTGTCGCTAACGCCCCAGTGGTTTCTCGGTTTGGGTGTTTACCTTTTTCACAATTTGCAGCTTTTCGGGGGCATGGTCGAAGAGGGCATCAAAGGCATCGCGTTCGCATCGCATCCCCACATCGTCGTACTCAGTGGTGAGGTTTTCGTTAATGCGTTCAGGGATCAGTTGGCCTTGTTTCATCTTCACCACCACCACGCTTACCGAGACGTTCTCTGTTAGGCGTACTGGCGGCCTGAAATGCCTTGCCAGGGCCACTAGCAGGTGAATAATCGCGACGATATTCTTCGAGTGGATGGTTTCCATGCTCCACTTGCTGTGCCCGAGCCGTTGCAGACCCAGCACCTGAAAAGACTCCATTAGCCAAACTTCCCCTTACAAGCAACTTTCTACCTTGTTAAAATGCGCCAAAACCACCGCAAGCTTTTGCTTTTGGCCCTCTTCGTTCTGGGTCACTTCCGGAACATCCAGCTTGTCTCCTGTGAGCTTTTCGAGGAGCTTCTGCAAAACCTGCCCATCATATAAGTCTTCTTTCAGGTCCTGCACGATGATTCTCTGCGAGGCCAGCTCGTCATTGATCCACTCTATTAGCACGTCCTGTAACTCCAGAAACTTGGAGTCCGTGTAGGCATTTTGATCAATCAGGGACATTTCCTCATTTTCCTCTGCAAATTCAGGAAACAATCAGCCAGTTTGTTGGAGTTTTGGGGCAAAAGGGGAACATTTGGGCGTGTAACCTTGCTCTCTCTATCTCACCTAGCTTGTACTCCTCGGGGGGTATAACGGGCGCTGTGGCGTAGCCTGGGGAGTCAATGGCATATTTGCCCTCAGTCTGCACCTCTTGCACTGCAATTAAAGGCCAAACAGCCCATTATTTACCACACCTTGGAGTTTGTAAACATAACCATATATAGCAATGACGTAAATAGCTACCTTCCTTGATCCGTTTCTTGCGCCCCAATGTCCCCAACTTGTCCCAGATAGTTTCGTCTTTGGGCTTGGGCTCCACAATTGGTCGGGGGCTTTTGGGCCTAGTTGTTGTCATGATTTTACTGGGGGGCACCTACCTTCTTAAACACCAGATGATTGTCAATTGTCATAAGGTAAGGCCTTCGGCAGCTGCCAGCTCCTTGCTTACCACTAGGAAGTAAGGATTTAAAAAAACACAAACTAATTTCCTTAACTGTTTATTGAAGTAGAAAAATCAAGTTAGTCTGAAGGAAATCCCCATACTTTGAGACTCCCCGCGTCTCGTTTCCTATCATAAGTGTCTTTGTCGTCGCAAGCATACGCAAGTAAATACTGAGAGGGATGCCAAGCGACGGTAAATGTGGCTGCTTCCACGCTGATATCGGCGATTTTGTCCCCTGTCTCTACAAAACCTACAAACATCCCCCTAGAGCTTTCAACTCCACATTAACATCAGCTGCTTACCGATATCAATCAGCAAATCCTCTGAAGCTGAGGCCAGCAACTGGCCGTCGTAACTGAATGAGATGGTTCTCACTGGCCAATCCATTCTAGAATTCAACTGTGGATTTAATCCTAATAATATGATAGAAAGTCGGGTAACGTTACCTGGTAAAAACCCTTTTGCAAGCCAGCTCATTGATATCCCATAGAGAAACGAGGGCGTCAGCGCTTCCAGTGGCAAAATACTTCCCCGTTGGGTCAAATTCAATGCAAATACACGTGCCTGGGTGCGCTTTCAGGATATGCTGCCTCTTCAAGTCGGGATAACTGGAAACAAATGGGGCAAACGTGCACGTTTTGCCAATGTTTCTACTGCACCTCCTACCTCAAAATGTGTATGCAACCCTGACCATTCGTCAGAAAAAATAGGTCGCTGGTATTATTCCAGCTAATCTCGTTCACCTCAAAATGGAACTGTTCCTCTGCCTCGATCTTGTGCGTCCTGGCGTCGATGAAAGTGACCAAGTCTTCTTTGTTGCCAACTGCAATCGCGTTACCTGGAACGCTTGAGTTATTTTCCGCTACTCGCTGCTTCATGGCTAAAGCCTTACCATTAGGTGACCAGGTAATATTAATGTTTTCCCCCTTGGTGTTGATGGTGGCCACACATTTCTGAACACGGGTGTCCCAAATTCTGACTGATTTATCGCCACTGGCTGTGCTTAGCAGGTCTGGATTAGTCTGGTGCCAGCACAACTGATCCACTGAACCCCCATGTCCCTTGAATGTGATCTCCTTGTTCTGCAACCCAGCGGGCGTGAGACAAATAGGCCTCTCTTGCTAGTTGACTTACCAGTCGGTCGCGGTCGAGAGTGTAAATGCACACGCATTTATCGAAAGAGCCCGACGCCAGCCGCTTACCATCACAGCTCCAGCCCACCGAATGCACTTTGGAGCTGTGCCCCATGTATTCTTTGGATTTGCTGTGGCATTTGAAGTAGCGCTGAAACTCCTCGATCTTTTCAGTGTTCATTTTTCTGTTTTTGTCCACCGAAAAAACAGCTCAGAGTAAATATTATTTACTATTTACTCTGAGTGCCAATGTTATGGATGCTAACCTCAATTGCTAGCGGCTTTTAAAATTAACCTAATTTCGTCTTCTGAGAAAGACTGTAGGGAAATAACTTCACCCCAGGTCACCGTCTGTCATCTTTTAGTCGCACATGTATGACAGAGAACATACTTTTATCAAGCAGTGGTAAAACAGGGCGCATCAACTGGATGGCTGTTCGGCATTGCCGGTTATATCAAAGACAATACCCTTTTGTATTTCCTGAGTTTACTATATATACTTTAGAAACATTTCATAAACAATGTTTGACATGAAAAAAGACGCATTTCAATGCTCTATTGAGTAGCAACAACTGAAGGTCTGTTACTCTAGTCCGCCATCATCAGGCAAGATTTTATAGATTTTATTACGGAAAAACGATCGCTGCTGGCAACACCGATCAAGAGTGATTTGCTGCTGTCAAGTGTGATCGAATTGGGGCTACTTTATCCCTTTAATCCAGTTTGTCTTCATTTAACTAATTTATTTAAGACTTCAGTGAGCCTGATCGGCGTCCGAGTGCCTGATGGCTGCCCCAGTAATTCTAGCTGCCACAGCGAAACATACAGCAACGGTATTGATTCAATTCCCAACACTTCAGCCTGTTTGGGTTGTTCTAGCCACTTTTTCCCAGCTAAATTGCTAGCCCCAGTGTCAGCTGGAGCTTAATGAATTTTGCTTCAAACATCCATGGCAGGAATCTGAACTATTTTTTAATAACTTCCTCTTATTCTAGCTTATTTTCTTTCATGGACTGGGGGACACAGGGTAAGAACCGTTCAGTCCCAAGCCAGGTAAATGAATGATCGTTTGTCGCTTGTAGTCAGGGCTGGGCCCAGCTGATGAACGAAATCAGGAAGCCATTCATGAAGGTGATTTGCCCAACTGCAAACACCATACCTGTCACCATAAATGGGGGGCTTCGAATGCCATCCTGGTTCGACTTGAAGGCTTTCGATGAGTCCGGGCCCGAAGATGAAGAGGGTAAAACCAGAGTGACGTCTTAGTTCATAAACCGTGCATGAATTGCTTGCAGGCATTAAAGTGGCAGCCAAGGAAGTGCAGTCGCTTATAACTAAAGAAATCAATGCGGGCATTCCTGCTGATAGAATTGTGATTGGGGGCTTTTCCCAGGGCGGCGCCCTAGCGATTTATTCCGCGTTGACATTCCCACAGCGACTGGCTGGAGTTGTGGGGCTCTCTTGTTGGTTACCCTTGCGAAAGAGCTTTCCAGCGGCAAAAAAATGTCCAGATGATCTTGCGGTAAGCGCCGATTTTAGAAAAAGGACAAGGCAATTCTGACTAAAACCCTCGTCTAGATCATTCAATGTCACGGGGATTTCGACCCATTAATATCCCACAAGTTTGGCCAAATGACGGCCTCCATTCTGAAGACCATGGTAAAGAACCACGAGTTTAAATCCTACAAAAAGCTGATGCACACTTGGTCTGAGGAAGAAATCGAAGACGTTCGGGTGTTTATTGACAAAAATCTGCCTGGCCAATAAACCTGGTCTGATTTATGTATATTTTTATGTAATTCGAGTGGTCTCACTAGATTGGGCGTTACTGCTACACATTCCCTTTGCAGGTCCTCTATTTAGTTTAGATCCTTCACAAATCCTGGTATTTGCCCCCAAAGAACCATCGGATAATAAATAGACTGTCCAGCATATGATTACTGAAAACTACTGGCCTTTCTGTTTCCTAAACCTAACAGACGGCAACACTGTGGCCAGCTGACTACGTCCGCCTTTTTTGCAAAGCTGCGATGTTAAGGGAAAGTTTGTGTTGAAAATGGCTGTATTTTGTGTTTCGTGTAGTGTACACTTGGAAAACATCACTAAAGTGTGAAATTCTTCATTAAGTTGCATTGCCTGGGTATTATTGGAAGGTTGATTTGACGAAACTCGAAGTAAACATACTGCCTTCAAATCAGTCGGCTGTAAGACCAGGTTGCCAAGTGTGGTCCATTTTCTTGGGTCAACCCCGCTGATTTGGTTGCAAAGGTGATTTAACTTTAGCGGGCAGGATTAATGATCATTGCCTATCTACACCCAATAAATTGCGCAACCAATTGAAAATACTTGAAAAACCGAACGAACTTGAATAAAATTTATCGGCATTCCCTGATAGCCGCGAAAGCGTATCAGTTTCTGACAAGCGGTACCACTTAAATACGCGCAACTGCATTTAAAGAACCGTTTGTGCTACCATATCGATATTTCTGAAAAGTAAAAGTGATTCGGTTTAAATATTGTCGCGCTCGTGTATCCAACAAGTACGCACCAGCACAGTACCATCGTAGAGGACATGGACATGTAGGAGACAGACGAATTTTCCACAGAATCAAAATTGAAACAGCTCTGATTTTTTTTTAATATCCCGACTTACTGGTATCGTTTTTTCAAAACCGCGCAATGGCCTGCAGTTTGGGCTTTATCAATGTGGTTCTTCTGGGGCTGGCCTTCATGCTGGTCTTCACTGCCTTCCAAACATGGGGCAACATTCAGGTGAGTGAAATTATCGGATTTGTCATTTAGATGCGGTTTAGTTGTTAAATTTTGAGCGAAAAAAGCACATATTTCCATTTTTCCCAGCTGAGTTTTATAGGATTCTGCAGCGAATTTTCCCTGTTCATCCATTGTCTGAAAATGTTGCAGCTGCGTTATCTCCTCTTATCGAATTATTGGAAAAACAGACAATCCTTAAGTGCCTCGCGGCATTTTTATTTTTGTTGCCTCGGTAAAGCTTAAAATTTAAATTCCCAGGTTGAATTTTAATAAGCGAATCGAACTTCCTGCTTCACCCATATGGTGCCAGCGATTAAAATGCTTTTCACGGTTTCATTGGCATTTTTGCTTTGGTACCCTTGAGCAGATCGGATTTTTCTTTGCGTTTTTCATGTTTGTATAAGGGAATTTCCCGGAAAGGTTGAGCCATCAACGCTTATCAATGTTGTTCTTTCTTCAGGCATTCAAAGGTCAATATATTCAAATTTTAACCCAGTTGAGTTCCATAAAGATAAATCATGTTTTTTTGTAAATTCAGCTTCGAGAGCACTATGGTCTGAGTAATCAATATTATTACTACGGCACTCAAAGCGCTCCTCAACAGTAACAATACGATATCGATACGGACAGGATTTTTTCATTAAGAGCACGTGCATTATCTGGCTCTTGAAGTGCCAAACTTGATTTTGAAATGAGCACTAAGATAGATTAGGCAAAAAACCGGTTTTTGATACTTTTTACGCCATTGTAAAGACCTAAACAGTTTTCGCGGTTTATGTAAATTGTATTTTTGCCTTCATAATGAAAACGATTAACCGCATTATCGGCGGATCGTGTGATTAAAACTAGTTATTGCAAACCACTGGGCTGTTATTTATAAATGGTATATACATATAGATATATTATGACCCGTTTCCAGAGCACAATGCTGTTGATAAGTCGATATTTGTCATGCAACAAGTACTCACTTCGTCTGTCTGTTTCACACCTGCAATATATCCATCTAGCACTTTATCAAGTCAAGGGCGGATCCAGGGGGGGTCATGGGGGT